CTACTACTTCGTTAAAGGTACGACACTAGTCCACTCACGTACTCTACGTAGTCACTACTTAGTAGTCTACGTGTTAGTAGCGATATATATATATATATATATATATATATATATATATATATATATATTTCTTTGTTTTTCTTTTTCTTTTTAACTCGGGCTGGACTCTGGCCTTGGCCGGTCGAGTCCCGGTAGGTTGGAGGAAATCATGACCCATTGGTGGGTTAGGGAGTCCATGGAGGAATTTGCTTTGCGTCGAATCTGTCGGAAGGATAAGGAGAGACCACGTCAAAGATGGAAGAGCTGCTCAAAGATATTGTCGAGATTCCAAGAGCAGGGGGAGGCTTCTTAGCCCATGAATTGACATCGTGGAAATCACCTTAAATAAGGATAGAGGAGTCCCAATCTCGGTTGAAGAGTGTCATATGGCAACTTATGGCCATGGATTCAGCGAGGCAGGCATTGGACCCGCAAATGAGAGTAAGGTTTCACTACTGTGGGTTTGAAACAAACCTCCAAGCACAGCCGCATCTCAATCAAACAGCTGCCATCAAATTCAGCTCAATTACGCCTGGTAGGCTGTCCATAAGGAGGATCTAGGGAGAGTAGTAATTCAATATACTTATCATAAAAGTTTTCTCAATGACTCAAATTGTATTTGATTTTTCAAGAATATGAAAGAGAGACCTGATTTCAATGGCTTTTCTCAATAAACTAAGGAAAATGTAGTGGGATCAAGGTTTCAAAAAATGCTAAGCGGCCCCTAGGTGGCCCTTTGTAGTATAAATTCTTAAAAAATATACATATATGTGTTGTCCAAACGCACATATATGCAATTTGTATCAATTTTGTAATTCATTGCATTTGAAAATATTGTAACATGCTTTTTATATACAAACATATGACATATCGCATGTTGAGAATAAACTTGTTCAAAATTTCAAAATTCAAACCATACAAAATTTTAAAAAAAATTAAAAGTCTAATAGGCTATGTATTAGTAATAGCCTCAAAGCTCCATATTTCATAATAACATGGCCTTCGAGTCTCCAACTCTCCAAGTGTTCAACAAACTTACAAAAGTATAAAAGCAAACAACAAAATAGTCCCAAAAGGTGAAATATCTAACATCCAAATGTCTAAGAGATTGAGGGCTTAGGATGTGTTCTTTTAACTTTAACGAGTTGAAAATAACCCCCATAATCTATTTAAACCTTTTTGGAGGTCAAATACCCCCTTTGCCCTTTTGGGCATCTTTAAAAATAAAAAAAAAAGCCCACGGATAAAGTACAAGCATCATAAGCAAGGGCATGTGCACCAGTAGCAGAGCCGATTGTTTACCCATAGCATCCTGATGCATAGTCTACTCATCACACCCTAGTGATCGTGATCAAGCTTATGATCCGAGCATTCGTGATAAAGCCATTGATTCCGTTGCTCCCCCTTCTTTCTCTGTTGTTCAAGACCGGGACAAGTCTTTCTTGAAGAAGAGGACTAGTGATTGATGCCCCACCTTCCCTAGGTGGTAAATTCAGATAGTCAACTTGGTCAGTCCAGTTTCGTCTTCCTTCTTCGATGATGATAGCCCTTCCCTCTCTCTGAACTGTGTGTTCGAGTGTTTTCGAAGGGTAGCAAAGGGATTCTCCCTAAGAGAAGCCCGAGCGGAGTTCGAGTTAATAGTTGTGTAGTTAAAACAACTGTTTGAGTCATCTAACTTGAAATGAATACATAGGACTAGGAACCAAAAACCAGACATAATAGTAGGTATAAAGTAAATTGCCCAATGTTTTCGAATTAGTCCAACTTCATACCTTTCCAACATAAACCGTATATCTAAGAGAGGTCGTTTTTCTGTGGGTTGGTAGTAATGGAATGGTTTTATTATTCAAAGAGAAGAACATTTCCCACCTCATCTTACTATTTATAAGCCACAGCTTACTCCAACGTTTCCAATTTCCCATAGAATCTCCAGGGCTTTCCTAGCCACTATGGTTTTGTTTAGCCCTCTTCTTTGTCTGAAAATTGATTTGATTAGCTTCACCTATGAGAAATTCTACCAGTCCTCACCTAATTTATATACCTTTAAACCCTTAATCTTTCTCTATTTGAATCTTTCTCTATTATAATTCTATTATTCTAATTATTAATATTTTATTCTTTTAAATATTCTAACCCCTGGGCGGCCGCTCAAGTACATCCGCCCAGAATGGGGCGCCAAGGTCTAGGCGTGCGGTCAAAGGTGTCTTGGGAGCCTAAGCATGACCGTTTCTTGAAACCTTCAGTGGGATTCTTTCATAAGATGGCGTTGACTATTTTAGATGGCTGAATGAAAGAAATTAGAAGAAGATTTTTGAGTTGTAATCAACTGAAAGCTTCGATCTTCAATGGGATTACAGTGAACCAGGCTTTGTGGTATTTCAATATACTTATCATAAAAAATTTCTCAATAACTCAATTTGTATTTGATTTTTAACGAATATGAGAGATAAACCAGATTTCAATGGCTTTCCTCAATAAACTAAGAAAAATGCGGTAGGATTCTTTCCTAAGGTGGTGTTTACTATTTTAGATTGCTGAATGAAAGAAATTGGAAGAAGATTTTTGAGTTATAATCAATTGAAGGCTTCGATCTTCAATGGGATTGCAGTGAGCTAGGCCTTGTGAGGGGTGGAAGGGCTGGATGGGGGCAAATGGTGATTTGTAGAATGTGGATACCATGAATCTGCCAGAGCTAGCTGACAAAGTTAGGATATCCATGCCTGCCAGAGGGAGGAAGAGGATTTCAAGTGTTTGAAAGAGGAAGACGAGGTATTGTGTTTCATCATCATCGAGTGTTTTCCTAAACGATGGGTACCACACAATACGCCACAATGATTTCATAGTAATATGCTATTAAAGATTCAGAATTAGTCGCAAAAGCGAAGAGATGGCTACTATTCGACCAAGTTCATGTTCCACACCCACACCTTTCCAAAATATCTTCTCCCTGTTTTAACCCTAAAGCGGATGTTCTTCATGAATTTGAGATGGCACTAGGAAAGCACTTCCACATCCTAGAGGCTCGGGCAGAAGATCTAACGGGGAAGCAACTGGAAGGTCCAATTCTATATGTGTGGCATATCAGTGATTCCCAGAGGTGATCAAGATTGGTGGCTGAGTGCAGTCACCATTTGCCTAGTAGGGCCAGGTTGTTTCCCTACAGCTTCCTAATGCCTAGCCTATCTTCATTTTTAGGGCCGCACATTCGATCCCATGCTACAAGATGGAACTTGTGTGCCCTGTCGTACCCACCTAGAGAAATTTTTGATGAATTTCTCAATATTGTTCAAATGGGAAATAGACATTTGAAAGAGGGGTATGTGGTAGATTGGGTATGTTGGAGAAGGTAGCCTTAGCAAGAGTGATACGCCCACCAAAGGGGAGAAACCTCCTTTCCAAGTTGCCAATTAACATTGTATTCTTCCCACTACCGGGTCGCAGAAGTGTTTGCGGGGCTTACCAATGCACAATGGAAGACTAAGATATTCAGAATTCAAAGAGTATAGATTCTACTCTACAACCCACTCTGTGGGCGATAGCTTTAGGGTACCCTGTCGAAGCCAATTGCCATAAGCTTTGTTTGGTCATGTTGACTTTCATATCTGAGCAGAGTCAGCAGAGTCCAAAGCTTCTCCAAAATAACCATAGTTTGTATAACTGTTGCTAGGAGGTGCTGCAGAAGACGAGGGTGTCATCCGCATATTGTAGATGGATAATTTTAAGGCCTTTCCTATTGGCTCCGAAACCCTTTAGATAACCTCGTTCAAACATTTGGGAAGGGGACATGTTGAAGACCTCGACAATAATCACGAAAAGAAAGGGAGTCCCTTTGCCTTAGGCTATGGAGGGTAGAGAAGTAACATTCAGGCATATTAACTGGAATGAGAGATGCAACCTTGCATCCATTATCCAACCATTCTAAGGACTTCATCCAATATCGCGGCTATCGCCCAAACTACATGATAGTAGCCTTTTTGCCAATCTAACTCGATGATTACACCAGGTTGCTCGGCCATGTGCCTAGAACAAATGGTCATGTGCTATTAGAACATGCTTATTCTAGATGGGGGATATGATCAAATCTAGGACTTACTGCAGATTAATGGCAAGGACATTGGTGAGAATCTTATAAGGGGTATTCAATTCTATCAACCCTTCTGATTTAGGGAACCAGGCAAAGAAAGTCACATTTATGCCCTTGTGTGTGCAGCCTCAGCTATGAAATTCGTTAAAGAAGGCTAGGAATTCGGACGCCATGTTCTCCCAAAATCTAGAGAACATTGCCATAGGAAACCCATTGTGGCCAAGAGCCTTATCTAGTCCTAGGTCAGTAATAGCCTTGCGAATTTTGTCTTTGGAGAAGGGTTGCTTGAGCCAAGCAGCTCTGTCCTCTAGGATGGTCCTAAAGGCTACGTCCAATATATATGGTCTAGGTCTAGGGGAGGGTTGGATAATCCTTTTTGAATAACCTCAGGATGGCTCACTTGATCACAAAGGGTTCTTGGAACTGTCTACCCCCTCCCTCTATGTAAGTAATGGTGTTAGCTATTCTTCTGTAATTAGCAATCTTATGAAAGAAGTGTTTTCTGTCCCCCTTTTTGAGCCATTTGATATGGGTGTCTCTGTTATCAAAAAATATCTTCCTCTTTGAATCAAGCAAAGATAGCTCCTGTTTGAATCAAGCAAAGATAGCTCAATCCCTAATCTTTGCTTCAATTCAATTGGCTCTCTCTGATGGTGTGATGGCTCCAGATCCTTCTAGAGGAATCTAGATCACTAACCTTCTTAGTGATAGAGTCGTAAGTCCTCGAAAGCTCCCTGGTAGGTTCATGGAACAATGTTTCAATGTGTGTTTCAAGTGCTCTAATTTCCTTTGAAGTCTATATCCCAACGACCCTAAAATAATGAAAGAGGATCACAACTAAGGAATGAAGTCTAGAAAGTCATGCTCTTTGAAACAGGTGAGTTCAAACCAAAAGGGTTTACTCCTGATCCTACATGGTTGAGTGTCTTGTATGATAGGTTTACATTCTGAAACTAATTTTGGTAGAGCATACGAGTGGGAGCCATGGAACTGTTCCTTCCATTCAGAAGATATGAGCAAGCGGTCAATTTTGGCCAGAGTGGGGCACTCAGCATCATTGGACCAGATGGAGTGAACCATTGAGGGGGGTATCGAGGAGATTGTTCGCAAAAATGAAGTCTGAGAAAGCAGACATACTGGCTATGATCCGGCCATTGTGTGTGTATATTGCATCAAAACATGTAAAATAGGAAACTGACTTTATATAAGGGTGTAAATGTAAGGTCAGACTGATATTTGGAATTTGGTAATGGAATGTTAATTCTCTCCATGATTTTGCTCTCTTCTTCTTAACAGACTTTGTGGAATGTGTGTGCCAGCAGCAGTCATTGCGTGTGAATATATAAGAATGGTACTTGCTGGAGATGGGTATGTGCTGTATATACACGTGTATGTCGTTATTGCACTAGTAAATTCTGAGTAGGTGTTATGAATTTTGTACCCTGCAAGTCATATATTGTAACCTACAATCTAAAGTTCAATAAAGCCTCATCCCTACTAAACCTCAAAGAAGATGACGATAAACAACTTACCCAGAGGGTGACAACATCCTGTGCAAGTAATGTTGCACCGCTATCACCACATACATGGTTAGATAGAAAATAATTGCAGTACTCCTTACTCTTTCATCCTCGTTGACATCGATTACAGAACTCCATAATAATTGAATACAGTGCTAACATGCCCCAAGGGAGGTAAATGATATGCACATAAATAGTTGCATATATACATTACATAGATGCATAGCAATCTATATGTATATTTCATAACTATCTATACATATATTGTGCATGCATGCATGTATCAAATATCTCTTACAACAACAATAATCAAAAAAGAAAGGCAAGGAACATGTAATAGTATGATAATGACCTGTGGATCAGCAATTACAGCAATCTTAATCAGCTTGTGGCCATATCCTGCTTCATTTGAATTCTCTATAGCCTAGCAAAGAGAAATCTAAGTTAGTGAATATTCTCGTACTAGTTAATCGATTTGACAGGTCAAAACTCCTGCCTACATCACTCTGAAGTAAAAGAAACAGGACTAAGAATATAATGGAGCAATTAAAGGCAACAAGGAGGCAAATTTCATATGAATGAAATGAAGCCATATAGTGACTAAAATCGAAGTCCACAAGATAGAAAAAAGATACGTTGTTTAGGTGCTCAAGAAGGGATAAGCAACCAATCAATTGCCTACAAAAGCAGATGAACACAGTATCCATAGTAGAAAATCAAACATCATACCATGCACTTGATCAACATAAAATGGGATGATTCTTGAATTGCTATTAGATTTCAACATGTTATGGATTTTCATAGACGAAGTAACATGTACTTATTGCATTATCATATTGGCACAGCTACCTAAGGTTCTCTATATTGCTTAGGAAGAAGGCGGAACTTGAAGTAATCTGTTAGACAGAACAAGTGTGTTTTGTGGTATGATGGAGGGAAGGACTGATACTTTGGATTTCCATTTGAGGTTTATTACAAATTTACAAGACGAATGAGCATCCTTCGTTTGTATTGGGGATGCTAGCATTTGGTTTCACATGATTTTTGAGCTGGATCGAAGAATTAACTTGCCAACTTGGTGTTCCCTTTACTTCTTTTTTTCTGTTTTTTCCTTTGTCATTTTTATAAGTAATGTTTCCTTACAGTTGTCAATGAACCATAATGAGAGAGGAACAAAATCTGCAGGAAATTTATTCCACTAGAATGCAGAAAACATCTATATAATTATAAGAGGTGAAAAGCTATGTTCTATACATGCAAACAGGAAACCTCTAAGAAGCTTCCTTCCAATCATTAGCTACAAATCTGGAATTGACGTCGTCTTATTACTCTCGTCTAGTGGTCCTCTTAGTGCTTCAGATCATGCAGCCTTAATATGCAACCTGCAAGTTGCAGCTCGAGATCATAAAGAAGCCTTCATCTTTGGTCAATCTTGATAGTAACATATCCCCCTGTGTTCACAATTTCAAACATGGCTGAGAAAATGTACCCATTTCTCACATGATGCCACATGAATCTTCCATTCTAGAGCTTCAACTCAAACTCTCAGTTAGAGATCTTCTTCACTAGTATAATATTCCATTTTACAATTGGAAAAACTCTAAAGAGAAGATATTCCTTAGAAACCCATAAAACGAGAGAGATAGCTATAGAGAGAGAGGGAGAGGAATCCAGAATGAGTACAAAATTCTAAGAAGGTTCCTAACACCCCCGTACTAAGTCCAACATAATATCAATTTCTCAAAAGAGAAAGAAAAACTTCAAAATAAGATCCCTCTTAAATAAAGTCCCATTCCATAAAGGTCGGAATTGTTTGAACTTCCTAGCAAGTGTCATTCCCCTGAGCAAGTTCGAACCAATAATACATGTAACTACACTCTAAAGGGTTGATTTTTATGGCTTGGGTCACTTACCAACCCAGAGTCACAATATCAATATAATTATACTCACTCATGGTATACACTGGACTCAAAAAATTCACTTTCAATTTCTTTCACTTTAGCATTCATTTTCCATGTTCATGCATGCTCATGACACTCCTAGACTGCCCCGTGTCCAATATTTGTGCTTCAAATGCTCTTTGAACCCCGATTACCATACTTAGGTCCTTTATCCTCATCAGCATAAAGGATCGATTTATCGACAGCAATGATATGTCCTCCAAGTACCAAACGAGTCCAGACCATAATTACTAGGAACCGGAGAGGGCACAGCTCCGGGATTGGGAACGGGATCATCGGATCGACATGGGCCAAAAGTTCCAATAGTGGGGGATCAAGATCCATACCGCCTATCCCACTTCTGATAGGATGTCAATCCCAATTACCTCGGGACCACAACCATACAAATTGGGGTACTCGATCCATAAATACAAAGAATCGCAGTTCCAATACTCATGGAAACAAGATCCCATTGCACAATGGATCGGGTTCCCTCTTCCCATTGTATTAAATGCTTTAATTATTTTAATTCTTGATATGGTTTATACATTTTACAATCTAGTCTGATACTCTATAGTCCACAATCTATACATAGCAATCTAAATATTTTAATTCTTGATGTTTAAGAATACTAAAATGAAATGGATGAAGATCCACAAATATAGAGATCGAGATCCCTGAATCGGGGGATCAAGATCCCAACATGATAGGAATCAAGATCCACAAATATAGGGATCAGGCTCCCTCATTAGGGGGATCTAAATCTATATGAATAAGGGATCGAGATTACTAGAAAACGGATCAACCTCCCTTAAAAAAAAAAAAAGCTTCGGTCGAGATTCTTGCTTTAGAGCGTCGGATCTAGATTTCAAGCTGGAACCAAGCCCTTTAGGGGCGCTCCAGTAACCATTGATGCAAGGAAGATGGAGGGAAGATGGGAAAGAAATAATTAAAATAAAAATAATAAATACGCTCTCTCAGGGGCTGCAAGGGAGTCTACCCCAAAGATCTCTTCACAAGGTCCAAAAACAATTTCCTTCTTCTCAAAAATAACCAAGTTCTCAGAGAGGGATCTCCTTCCCTTTAAATACAAGTATTTAAGTAACTCAAAAACCCTAGAAAGCTCCTACGAAATCCTAGCCATCCATTTTGTTTAATCTTAGCCACCCATTATTAACTTAAACATAGATACCTGACTCTACACCTAATAAAATAAGAAATAACAAGAAATAAAAAGAATAATAAAAATGTAATAAAAACTTACTAAACCTCGATAATCTAAAGTTAAAGACTAATAAAAAATCCCCAAAATATATCCCTCAATTCCCTTAATTAAATTCCATTAAAACAAAAAAACCCAAATTAGACCAGTATGTGCCTGCTTCAGTCTCCTCTGGTTGGAGGAAACTCGTGCTCAAGTTTTGACGAGGGCTTTTCAAAATTATGAATTCCTGCTGAAAATTGTGGTGGTGGATCCAATCGGTGATAGAAATAGGTCTAGGAAGATGGAAGAAGAGCAAGAAGGGTTGAAGGATAAGCAATCTAAGGATTAGTTCGAAGAATAACATATCGCAAAAAGAAGAAACTGGAGATCTGAGGATTATCAACAATGGCATCAAAAGATGAATGCAGGACAGAGGAATCGGTCAGCACTGGGAAGACGATGGAACACGTAGATGAATGGACAAGAGAGAATGTGGCACGGACAGCATGGTAACAGGTGGACAAATGAGCATAAAGGTCAGGGGAATGGACAGCGTGGCAATTTTCAAATGGGATACATGTCTAAAAAGAGTGGGAAGATGGAATGGCGTGTGAGGGAACACATGGTAAAGTTATTGTTGATTGGACGGCGATTGCAAATGGGAAAAATAAAATAAATGATAGGCATGGTAAGGAGGATGAGGTTGTAAATTTTGAAGGGCATTCTTGAAACAATATAAGTTTTAGGGAAGGCGTATCTTTAAGGCATGATGGGAGATTTTATATGGGCTATAGTCAGGGACATGTGGCTGATGGAGAGGAGGGTAGTACAGCGGTGGTGGTGATAGATGGGAAGGGGTTTACAGAGGAGGTACAGCAGGAAGAAGACAAAATGCAGAAAATTGCCACGCTGTCCTTGTAGCGATAACCAGAAGGAAGTAGTGCAGAAAATGGTTTGGGTTAGAGAAGAGGAAGTCATGAGAAGTATTTGTAGGCTCTTACCATATAGAAAAGCAGCTATGGCAAGTAAGCAAAAGCCACCTAATGCTTCGGATGGTAGTGAATGGCCAAAAGACAAGGTCATTGTGATAGATGAAAGTGAAGATGAGGAGGAGATGGTTAATAAGCAGCAGATGATGATAATGGCTATTCCAGAAAAGAGCCATGAGAAGAGAGAGAGATCTTCAGGGGAGAGAGAGAGAGGGTGAGATTTCAAGAGATAGAGAGTAAGTGAAAGGGAGAGAGAAAGAGCGAGAGATAGAAGGGGGCAGCTCTTCAAAGTCATCAACCCCCGGATGGCCACTTCTATTGGACCACTCTGTACTCTCGAGGCAGCTCTTGCACTCCACCTGGCGTGAATGCCTCATTAACCCATTTCAAACTCCCCAGTGGAGTCGCTATTTGGTCAGGCCTGGATTTACCGTCGCTCGGGCGCACGTAGGGTGCCCGACTCAATGAACCCCCTCTCAAACAACCGCTCGACTTACGTGCGTGTGGGTGCTCGTGGGTCGCATGCGGATAGGTGTCCAACAGTGAGAGAATTTTAAAGAAGTAAAGAGGTAGACTCGAACACCTACCCCACTGGTTAAGTTCATGAGACACACCCGGGCCTTAGCCCTCTTAGATCAATACGAAAGCCCTCCAGCAGTCCAGCAGTGTGGTTTGAATTCAGCTCCTTCAGTAGTTGATACTACACTCGAACTCTCACTAAATATGGCTCGGACCGCCAGGCCAATTAAGACCCAGACGAACCTCCTCGGGCACTCTTCTCTCCCTCTCGTCAAGCCTCCTGCCCGTCACTCTCTCCTCCGCTCTTTCTCTCATCTCTCTACCCCCTCGTCTACACACGGGCCTGCACCCAGCCGCGGGCCCATCACTCTCTTCTCTCTCAACCCTCTCGTCCCTCTCTCTCTCAATTGAGTACAGGCCCACGCCCAACTTCGGACCCCGTCATCTATCTTCTCTCTCAAGCCCTCTTTTTTCTCTCTCCCTCTCTCGTTCAAGCTTGGGCACGAACCCAACTAGAGGCCCGTTATTCCTTCCTCTCTCATCCCTCTCATCTCTCTTTTCACCCCTTTACTCGAGCCCACAATAAAGGCAGGCCCACTCCCTTTCTTCCCCCACTCTCTCATCCCTCTTTTCTCTATTCTTAATGAGAATCAAAGGGCGGGTCCATCTCACTTTCTCTCATTTTACTCTCTCTCATACAACAATCTCTCTCAATTACTCACACGAGTCCACGGCTCGGCCGTGAGCTCAACACACACTATTACACTCATTC